CCATAGATAGAACCAAGACTAGGGTATAGAAAAGGCTTCATCTCTCAAGGCAAAGTTATGGCAAAAAGTAGAGGGATTTCTGTTAGAAGCATGCAGAAATCTTTGTCAGTTGTAGTTGGTAGTGGTCACAGAAGAATGATGATATGGAAGAGGAAGCAAGAACGTGACCTACATAGCTGGGTGTTGGCTGAAGTTGCGGGTCACATATAGAGGTAATGAAAGCTATTTCCCCTATTATTTCATTGATGATAGCACATAGCAGCTGAGGTAACACTGGGGAATAAATGAGCAACCAAGAGTGCTACATTTTTGGAAAAAAGCCACATTGGTATTTTGATTTATAATTTTTTTAAAGATTTTATTTATTTATTTGACACAGAGAGAGACAGCGAGAGAGGGAACAGAAGCAGCGGGGGTCGGAGAGGGAGAAGCAGGCTTCCCACTGAGCAGGAAGCCTGATGCGGGGCTCGATCCCAGAACCCTGGGATCATGACCTGAGCCGAAGGCAGACGCTTAACGACTGAGCCACCCAGGCACCCTTGATTTATAATTTTAATAAGTTCTTAATATAGAGAACTGGTAACATTTTATTATTTTTAGTGTAATGATTGCATTGTAATTATAATAATTTAATTCACATAATGATAATTTTCTCATGCTTTCCTTAAAGATGTGCTCACAAGTCAATATTATGGTATTTAACACCTCTCAGTCAGAAACTGTATAATGCCACAAATTTCAATTCTGTTTATGAAGCTTCTACTATTTGCCTAATTCCACATCCTAAGCACAGTGGAAGACAAAAAATTACAATATACTTTCCTTTATTTCAAAAATAAATATATTTGGAGTAATAAAATGAGCATACTAGGTGCTTTCTAGTAAAGCTCATCATTGCAGTGGGGCTATCTATACTTGTGGAAATGCAACAGCACTAGAACTGTGCACCTGAAGGTATTAAATTGGGAAGAAAATGAGAAATAAATATCTGTGGTCATTCCTCTTAACCCTTTATTGTGCCACACTGCTACCAATCACAATGGTCTAAATAACTGCACCCTGTATCCAACACCAAAGGGCCTTTGCAAACCCTCAAGACTTAAGTTGGAATTATATTGATAAAGCTCAGGAGTCAATGTACTTATGAGTTTAAATACCTTTAAGTTGGTTATTTAGATGCCAGAAATAGTGCTACATTTAAAAATAAAATACAACTCTTATGTCATTTTTAATTATTTATCCATATAGATGTGTATTTTCTTATGGACCAAAATAAGGCAGAGGTAAGGTGTGAAGTTTTTATTCTTTAATATAACAACAATCTTTCACACAACAAAGAACAAAGGTAAACACGCATATAGTGGAAGATTATTACCCAATCCCCAGTAGAAGCCCAGCCCAGTGAACATTCTTCAGCTTACTGGGGATGTCATATGTGAAAGGGTTTCTTGAAAAGGTTAGCACTAAAAAAACAAAAGAAGATAAGGTAAAAATAAAAGGTTGGAAACAACATTTATCAAAGGAGTCAGTTGACAGAGGAGTTAATGACAGCAAACTTCATTGAGAGCAGGGTGGGTTAGGCTGCTCCAGAAAGATGAAAAGATTATGGTTCATCGGCCAATATTGTATAATATAAAATGTGAATGAAACCTCCACGTGGAAGTGAAACTTCTTGTGTGTGTGTGTGTGTGTGTGTGAAAGAGAAAAGGGTGGGAGAGAAGGAGAAGGAGAGGCAGAAGGAGGGAGAGACAGGGAAGTGGAGAAAGGCAGACAGACCTTGGAGAGTGGATATTTCTCCTAAATAGTACTATGGCCAACATCATAACACTCATGCTTTATAAAATTAAACATAAACATCTTTTCAGATAATATAATTAAGGCCTCTTTCAAATTTAATGTTCTTTGATTACATATCAGGTAAGAGCAGACCCGGAAGAAAATATAGAGAGGAGGTTAAGGAAAGAAAGAAGGATTCATGCCAAGACTATGAGTTTAAGGAAACATTCCACTTGACTACTAATGAGCACCATTTCAGGGAAGGCAGAATTGAAATTCCTATGATGTCATATTCTACAATTTGCATCTTAGTTGACAAAATACTGATATTGAGTGAACTGATACAGGAAGCAATTTTCAGGAAGAGGTTTAGTAAAGATAGGATAGGTGAGGGAAATTACATTGTTTTCACTGGGAATGCTGGGAAGATACACAAGAGGGAGACTCATCAGATAAATACTCCATTTACATTCATATGTGGGTAGAAGAATTTCAGATTGGTAGGCTCCCAGGATACTTGATAATAGAGTTCCACTTTTGTTGTCTATTTTTATATATGCCATCAATATGGATTATGAAATTTCAAAATTTCATAATCAACATTGTGCTTATGCAGATATTAGCCTCATAATCTACAGTGGATGACTTAGACAATCTGAGATGCTTGATTAAATGTTCCTATCACTTAGCTATGGATAAGGAATGATGCACAAAGGCTTCCACGTCCAGGCACATTTACACTATCTCAATGAAATTGGTTATAGCCAATCATACAGATTCAAATTTTCAGACTTTCCCATCACTTATACCTAGCTGCTAGCTCCTGATTTGTGGAAAAGATAAAACTATAAATCAAGCCTCCCATTTCGGTTTCTCTAACTTTATGGCTTTTAGGAATTTTCACTCTTATACAGAAGATATTTCAAATGGAGTAGTGAAAGCTTTGTTGACATAATGTGAGCCACGGTGATTTTTGGGAGGTTGGATAAATTGTTTCTGACTCAGCACACAGATCTTATCACTGAGATTCAATCAACAATGTGCTATTTAATAATGGAACTGTTTCCAGGTCTACTATACTGACATTTATTCAGGACCTTGAATGCAAATGTATTTCCAAATTAGAAAGAGATTATACGACGTACCAAACTTATCATGTAATATACTACTCCCAAATGTAAATGCCTTATGCTTTGTGCCCAATTTAATGCTTTGAATATTACTTCCCAACTGTAACAAAATAAGATTAATGAAATAGCATATGTGAAATATCTGGAAGACTGACTGGCGCACGGTGAGTATTCAGTAAATATACATATATTTTTTTCCTCTGATATACTTTACATCCTGGTGACACAAACTCTGCACTTACATAAAATAAAGGGTAATGACTTGCTCTACAAAATTAGTTGTCCCATTACAATATTTATTTAAATGACAAGCCTTATCAATGTATTTACTATGTGATGCAGTTAACCATAATTGACACCAATCTGCAAATGTGCAAAAATACACCTATTGTGTGGAACAGGGTGAACCTCTCTTACAGTCACTGAGAATACCATTATGCCAACATTGACTGCATTTTCTCACATCTAAATCAAGTTTTCATTAGAAGTTTCACCACAGTTTTTACATTTTAATTGCAGCACTCTACTCCCACTCTCAAACCCATTATTTGACCATTTCTGAAATTCTCACTCATTATGAAGAATTCAAAAGAAAACCTGCAGTGTGCCAAACGTTGGGTTTGGATCGGATGTCATACATGTAAGTCTTAGCTGTTACTTAGAAAAATGTGTGGTGATGCAATTTCCCACTTTGGATTCATGACAAGTGTTGCATAGACATAATAATTATGACAGAATTTAACAATTAGAAAAATTAATAGAAAATTTAAATAAGTCTAATATAATTATGATGTGTGCTAAAAGAGCAATCTCCTATAATAAAAACACATGACCAAGCTTGTTATTTACCAGATTTTAAATAAAATTATTATTAGCAACTTAAGAAAAATGTAAAAACATATGAAATATAATTTAGAATTTTATTTATTCATTCTGTTGCTCTTTCTCCTTGAAACTATTTTTCCTGTTTTCCATTAAGATAAATAAAAATATGGAATATTTAAAATTGATGCTGTTCCCAATCCATTGGTCCTGTTCCACTACCTCCTTGTCAAGCATTCATAATTAATGGTGCATGTAAGCAAAAAGTGACGCTTTGGTAAGGAAACATTTGCATCCATTAATGTTTCGTCCATTTCTAAGGTAGGTAGTACGGTGGTGCTGAAAGGATAGCTCCCAGTCACCTGTGGACACACTACTTTGCCAGGAAAGGGAGGACTACGACAAAACTAGACACTCTGAAGACACAAGAGGTAGACAATTACCTCACAACTTCACACTACTTTCCAAGCAAACATCTAGCTGAAATTTGTTTTAAAGATTTTATGTGCAGTATAGTTGTCAAACTAGGATTAAAAAAAAAAAAAAAGCAGCCCCTTCCCTTTCATCTTTCTCAAAAATAACAGCCTAAAGCAGCATAATCCAAAGAAAACTCAAAAAAGTTAATTTTATAGATTTTTTTCTGTCATTTAAATTTAGAGGTACCAGCCTTTGTAAATACGTGGGGGAAAGTCTAAAGACTTTGTGAAAAGAATTATCAGGTTGAAGATGAAGACTTGGGGAGAAGAGTCCTCTCCAGGCTCAAGCTGACACTCCTTATTCAAAGAAAACCATGCTCACGACCACCCCGGCAGTCTTTTTGAGGACAGGGAGCTCAGCCCCAGGTGTATAATTCCAGGAGAAAGTAAATTAAGACAAAGCAGCCGTACACACCGTTGGGGAGAGAGCGGTAAGGTTGAGCAGCATTGGGGTGCAGCAGTGACCAGAAGGAAAAGTGACCTCATTTTGCCTGGTGAAACACTAATTAACAAGCCCACCTTTGATGCGGATACCAGCGGTGGTAAAAGAGCACAAAGGGTGAAAGCTGGAGAGAGCAAACTTCCCTGTTCTTCCACCCCATCCCTCAGAACCTCCGGGAACACGCACACGCAAGGACAACAAAGCTTGCACCCAGGCTGCACAGCGGGCGCTTCCAGCCGCCGGGCCATCGCGCCCCGGGGCGCGCCGCTCCCCCGCGGCAAAGCCCGGGCGTCTGAGCGCGGACGCGGGCAGGACCGCCCGGGCGCGAGGCGGAGGGGGGGGACGCTCCCCTACCTTGAGCAGCACAAAGAGCCAGAGCAGAGACAGGAAGCGGCGGCCGCCGCGGGATCTCGTGGGCAGGTGCCCCATCACCGTGCAGAAGGGACCCGGGGGGACCGCGGCGCGTGCGAGTTCCCCCGGCGGCGGCTCACAATGGCGAACTGAGGCTCCCGCCTCAGACCGTGGGCGCCGAGGCTGCTCCCGGGGGGCGCATGCTGCCTTTCCAGTCTCCTTGCGCCGGCTCCCTTTCCTCTTCTGCGCCGGGGGTCCTCCCGGAACGTGCCAGGCGCTGCAGTTCTTTAACAGCTAAGGATGGAGAGGGTGGGGATTGGAGTGGGCGAGGCTCTGCGGCCGCCGCCACCGAGGCTGCCGGTGGAGACGCGGGGTCCGCGTGGTGAGCGAGAGGCGGATGCCCTGCGCCCAGCCCGCCGCGGTCCTCCGGCCGCAGGAGACTCTCACTCTGCGCCGCGGACTCATAAAGTGACAGCAGCCTCCCAGCCCTCCCACCAGGGTCCGCCTGCAGCCTGTTGTCTCTGGACAGCCCCCACTCCAGGCTCCGCCCCGACCCTTTCCACTGTCTCTGGGACTCAGGAGTTGTGCGGGGGATTCACCGACTCTTCTTGAGCAACTTGGGGAACCGGATCCCAGTCTCTTCTCAGTCTTCCTACATCTGCTCTCAGTTGCTGTTATAAAAGTACAGAAACACTTGGAGGGAACTGGCGGTTGTGATTGTAGTGATGGAGTGAGAGGTTCATGCATGTGTGTTTGACGGGTAGGATTCCATTCTCTCCATCCCACTCCTACCCGGAGGAAATAGTACAATTATATACACTTTACATTTGAAATCAGCTCTTACTAATTTCAAGGGCTGTCTTTTGATACCAAAGTCTGTCAGGTTGCCTGAAGCAGAATGTAGAAGTCAAGGAGGGGGGATCACAATATAGTACATATATTTATAAACATACTTTAAAAAATGTGTAATTATTAAAGAAACTGTTGAGCCTTTCCAGAGTGGTTATACTATTTTACATTCTCACCAGCAATGGATGGGGGCGGGGGCGGGGGCGGGGACGAGGTATGTAATTAAAGAAAGGTAATAGTAGGACTCTTTGTGGTGATGAAACAGTTCCCTATCTTGATGGTGGTGGTGGTTACACAAATCTGCCTAGATGATAAAACTGCATAGAAACTCAGGAGGGGTTCACGTGCGCCAGAGCCCACACATACAAATGTCTATAAAACTGGTGAAATTTGGGGGCGCCTGGGTGGCTCAGTCAGTTAAGTGTCTGCCTTCGGCTCAGGTTATGATCCCAGGGTCCCAGAATGCAGCTGCGGAACAGGCTCCTTGCTCAGTGGAGAGCTGCTTCTCCCTCTCCCTCTGCCCCTTCCTCCCACTGATGCTCTCTCTCTCACTCTCACTCTCTATCTCAAAGAAAGAAATAAAATCTTAAAAGAAAAACTGGTAAAATTTGAATAAGGTGTGTGAACTCTACCAATGTCAGTTTTCCAGTTTTGATACATACTATAATTAAATAAACTGCTACCTTTGGAGAAAGCTAGGTGAAGGATAAATAGGACCCTACTGAACTATCTTTTTGTTGAGATATAATTGACATATAGCATTATGTTGGTTTCAGGTGTACAACATAATGATTCAATATTTGTATGTATTGTGAAACGATCACCAAAACAATTCTAGTTAACATCCATCATCACACATAGTTACAACGTTTTTTCTTGTGATGGGAACTAAGATTACTCTTTTAGCAACTTTCAAATATACAATATTAACTACAGTCACTATCCTGTGTATTGCATCCCCTGACTTATTTCCTTTGTAACTGAAAATTTGTAACTTTTGACCCCCTTCACCCATATGCTTTTTAACAAGTGTGAGTTATTCCTGAGTAACTAATCCGTGACTTTTTAGAAGCTCAGGCAACTAATTCCTAGCTGTGTATTTTCAAACTATTTATGTCCCTTTGGTTGTTATGTGTAGCTTTTGGAAGATGTTTTTCAAAATAAACTATGAGGTACTCTATTCAAATATGAATCACTGTGGGGTGCGTGGGTGGCTCAGTGGATTAAGCATCTACCTTCTGCTCAGGTCATGATCCCAGGGCGGTAGGATGGATCCCCACATCCCCACATCAGGCTCTCTGCTCAGTGGGGAGCCTGCTTCTCCCTCTCCCTCTGTCTGCAGTTCCCCCTGCTTGTGCTCTCTCTCTCTGTCAAATAAATAAATAAAAATCTTTAAAAAAATAAATATAAATCACTCATTATTATGTAAATAACCCTTGCTGCACCTTGTCAATAATGGAACTTCCTATTTGTCTTTGAGACATGCTTGGGTACCAGGAGACAGGCAAGGTGACTTTGGTTATGAATGTAGGAGTTTGTCTCAGGCCCACAGTTAGGGAGTATAGTGGCATGAAAAAGGACCCGGGGCTATGTTTACTCAACCTTTGGCTAGATAACTAAATGACCAAACAGGAATCACTTGGTTGGTATGTATATGTGTCTAAGAAAGGTTTAGATTGAATATATTTACATGTGTATGTATACTAAATGCTCATAGACATAAATAAAAAATAATGGTCTGAATTTATGTGAAAATACTGTCTTTGGTGTCTTCCTTTAGAAGCATCTTTTGTTGTCATGTTCTTTCCCCTCATGTGCTCACTTTTAGTGCCTTTATGCCCTCTCTTTGTTGGCCTGGGCCTTTTCTTTCTTTTGGGAAAATATTAGCTGCTTTTCCCTCCCTCTGGGTCAGACTCATGGACTACCTGAAAATTTTATCTTTGGGACTGAACTTACAGGGGTTTTGTTTTGATAGTTTTCCTTTTAGTTTGAAGCTCCTGGAAGCAACATTCTATTCCCACACACTCTTGAAAGTGACACTAAAGTGATTTAATGTCTAGAACTAAAGATATGTTTAGACCAGTGGCAAAATCATACAAGTTGCTAATGACTCCTCTTTTGAATCGGTTTTGATTTTAAAGTGTCCATGTTGTGGTTTCCTTATATCTATAAGAACTTTATATGTGTGTGTACAAGTATGTGTGTGTGTGGATACATAGAGGCTTGGTTGATGTATGTGGGGCAAGAGAAAGCAATTCTACTGATCATACAGTCATCCTGTAAGTGCAAAAGGAACTTTCATAGTGATGTACATTTGTATATAATCATATTTGCTATATTGTTTTTCTATTTTTTCCTCATCACTTATACCACAATTTGCTTGGCCTTTAATGCCCTCACACATGGGTACATATGGACCACTTCTGGGGAACAATAACAGTGAAGAGTAACCAGTAAAACATTCCCCATTAAAGTATTTGTGATTAGCATCATTAATATTCCATTAAGTAACACCGTGATTAGATGGCCTGAAGATTGACAGTATCATTTCATAACCACAGATTTTCTCTCCAGAGAAAAGTATTTTACTTAGCTGCTGCTGGAAAAAAAAACAAAAAAGGAGTTTCATTTGTTTTTATTGCACTTAAAACAGTAACATTCTTGGGAATCTTCCTAGAAGAGGCTCCCAAGAAGAATGTGAAAGCTAGATCATCAGCAGTGTGGGGTTTTCAATCCATAGGGCACTCCCTGTGTCTCTTCTAACTATCGACTAGTTTTCCAGTGGGTACTTCCAAAGTATGGTAAATCTTAAGCTGTTTTCAAGAATACAAAGCAGCGAGAATGGTCATAGGCAACGTACAGTACAAATAGTAATGTGTGTTTCACCAATCCTTTCAAAATGTTTGTTCTGATTTCATTATCCCGACAATACTGTGAGGTAAAGAAGACAGAGATCATTATCACCATTTTACCCCTACTGCTGCTTTCCCTGGAGAAAAGATAAATGGACAACACAGAATCTGCAGGCGTTAAAAAATGAATTTGCACAAATTGAAATAGAGCTCTCTACTGCTTTGGGAAATAATAATAAAGCCGTTAATGAACAAGAGACTGGAAGATCTTTGTAAAAATCTGCAAGAGGCTCAGTTTTTGGTTTTTGTTAAGACAATCCATCTTTTCTTAAACATGTGAAAATGTACCAATACCTGTGTGTTCACATCTATCTCTTGTATGGAAAGAGAAGTAGTAGCAGCCACAGAAAAGAGCTGTAATGCCTAGGAGAGGTTTAATGAGGAGTCAAATGGAACTCTTACAGGGCTCTTGCCAATGAAGTTCAATTCTGCTCTCCAGGGACCAACTCTAATGCAGTTCACTGTGTTCAGTCCTGGCTTCCGCTACTGAAATTGCCTACAAGGCTGTCAGCAGTTTTGGTATTAGAGTTGTATTTATGGGAGTTGCTCAATGACAAAGAGTTTACTTTATGTAGAATGCAGGAAAAAAAAAAACAAAAAAAAACAAACTCAAGCCATTGATCTCCAGACTATGTTCTGCTTGAAACGCACAGTAATAGCCATGCAGTTTGTCATCCATATCACACATATGGCCATTGTTATAACATAGGAACCGGAGATTATGTGTAATATGTGCTTAAGAAAAAAAAATATATGTGCTTAAGATCGGGTGGCCAGGCAACATTCTGCTTTTCAATTTATTTGAGCATTTATTTTAGTTTTTCTCTTGATGAACACTGGTTTCTCGCCTCAAAGACATGTTGACAATTCATAAATTCTGTCTTTCAAAGTGAGAATGATTGACAGCCCTTAGGTGAATAGCATGTTCCAACTGCCAAGACTTATTACTCTTGAAAAACAGAGAAACTCACCACAGAAGGTCATTTTTGCTTCTACATGAAGAATTTTTTCTCATGGCCTTTTTTTCCTTCTCAAGTAGCTCCTATTCAGGCATTTTTCTCTTACTTGGCTCTTGCATGGTTTTAAGAAAAATCAAAGAAGAATATTGTGTAATACAAAATCATCTGCTCAAAGGAATTAAGAAAATATATGGGAACAAGAACAGATATTTATCATCGGATGCAAACTACAGGCTATAGAATGAGGGATCCTAAATTAAAAAGGCAGATTATCATTTTTAGATACCATCCCTTCTTTCAATTATATTCTAGGATTAATGTGCGTTAACATTTCCTTTAATTCCCCTAGAAATGAAAAAAATAAAAAATACTAAGCAGCCATAGGTTATGCAGTTTTATCCTACATTTTGTTTACATGTGATGCATTGGCTAATAAACTTTTATAATATTTGCTTTCTGAGCTTCCCAGACATTGTTAGTATCTATTCACTTAATTTTCCTTTAGAGTAGGTTTCTTGACTAGTTATAATTTAAAGCATTAAGATCCTGCATGG